ACTGAGACTGCTGAAAAAGAATTCGAAAATTATTGAAACTATTTAAAAAATAGATTGAGCTATTATAAAGGAGGAAGTGTGGTAATTAAATAAATAAATAAATTTAAAAAAAATAATTAATTAAGAAAAAAAATACAATCAATTAAATTTATTTCCAATAGTCTGATCAAAATAGAGGATTGAAAAAAAGTTCTCATAACGTTAAAGTAAAGCCTAAATGAGAATTGTTATCCACAACTGTAGTTTTGAAGTCAAATATGTAATTTAATTCTTATAATAAAACTATCTTTATGTTCATAAATTTTAAAGGAAAAAAAAAAACTCAGATTGTATGGTTAACAAACAAGTTCGAATTTATAATAAACTTAGTTAACAAATGTCTATAGTTCATGATAATATTCTTAGTTTAAACTATTGAACAGTTTTTTAATTTACTTAATGTTATCATATTAAAATTAAATAATTGAACTTCTTTTTTTCACTACTATTTCACTCCGATTTTTATTTTTTATTTTTTTTTTAATTCTGTAGTTATGTTGAATATTTTAATGTAATTAAAAAAAAAAAATTCTTTAAAAATAATTAGATTAAAGTTAAATTTTTTCTTTCAACTTTAAAATGTAATGTTTAATTTTAAATTAGATTAATTAAATTTTGTTCCAATCGCGCAGTAAAAATAATAGAAATCTACAAACATTTACTTAGTAATATTAACACATTCCTGGGATTACCAGAAACGTTTATTAGAGTATAAGATCTCTCATTATTTCCGGAGTCGGACCGTAAAATTTTAAATACCGACTCCATAACTCGGATTAAACATTTTTTTTTAGGGAAAAAAGAATTTTTTAGTAAGTGGAAAAGTTGTGTTAATTTAGTTCTTTTATTTGTATACATTTTTGTGATTCTTTTTTAAAGCTGAAAAAAAAAGCAATGTAATATATATTATTATGTAAAATGTAATATAATAACTATAGCATATTAATTTTTGTTTTGATACAAATTATAACATTCTTACTTATTTGTCAAAGTGAGAATATTTTTGATAACAAAATGTATTATCGACAGAGAAAGGTGCGTCGAAGCTGTTCAAATACTTTTAATCTACAACTTTTTTTTTCCTTCCATTTTATTAAACAAGATAGCTATTTGTTACAGTAACCCTAATACAAAACATAACCTGTTTTCAATTCATTTCACTTTTGTTGTTTCAATTTATTTTTACTCATTTCATTAATTCCTCTTATTAGGTGTAATAAGACCCTATAAGTCCTCAGGTCACTATTCAATGCGGAAGGAAAGGGATATAAAAAAATGTTCGTTATTGATAAATATTCATCAGTTCTTCGAATCGCTCTTTTTTCTAAAGATCGCCAAAACGCGCTTTACACGTCGGCGCGCGTACACTTCAGCGTTTCTCAAAATAGTTGAGGTTTTTCTTCTACCGGTTGGAGTTCATCCAAAAAGATCTCTTCTGTCTCAGCATAATCGAGGTCTTTTTCCTTTTGCCCCTTTTCCTCTCTTTTCGTCTCCCCGCTCGGAAAGATAGTCTGCTGCCGTTTTCGAACGCTGCGAGTGCCGGCTTTTAGAATTCCCCGCATCTTGCCTGCCCTGTTTCCTAAATGCTGCTAAGAAGATATTTGAATTTTATGACTTGAAGGGACTTTCCCTTGTTTTAAAAGGAAAAAGAAGAAGAAAAAATGAATTATCGAACTGTCAAGAGCCGGTGATGTAAACACCGGTTATGCAGACTTTTTTAGTCTCTGTTCCCCTGTCATTGTGGGCGGTTATCTGGCAGGTGTAAGTGCCATCATATTTTCTGTCTCGAGAGGTTTTCCTTGGCCGACACCCAGAAAATATTCACAATGCCAGGTAGTTCTGAATCTCTCACAAATGCACCTTCCAAGGCCAAGGTAACGTCCGCTACAACGAACGGTGGGATTTTCGTCCGACCCGTTGCCGTCGCCGGAATATTCTGTCCCGCTGCCGAATCTGATAATAAACCACCTGCCTTGCCCGAAAAACGTCGCTTTTCAGCCCTTGTTGGAGATTTGAGGCCTTGTTCTTCTGGCGGTGGAGCTGCAACTGATGATTTTAATCGGAGGCGACAGTCTTGGGATACTAGACAAAAAGAAGCACCATTCAGCCAAGCTTTTTTGCGAAAAACCCCCCGTAATAATTCGAGCACTTCGTCAAAATCAGAAGATACCAAATGCGAAACTTCTACGGCAACAATTACTATTACTAATACGAGTGTTGGCACCAAATCATCTGAATCTTCTTCCCCAATACCTAATCACTCTCAGACTTTGAATGAATCGGTCTCTAATACTAGCTGTGATGATAAGTCGAAATTAAAATTATATTCTAATTCTGAAAAGAAATTGGTTGTTGAAAAGTCGATTTACAAAAATGAGCAGAATACTGAAGGTAAAAAATTTATTAGCAATGGGATAACTGATGAGAAATGTAATGGAGTGCCAAATTCAAAAACTGTTACATCATCTATCGCTTCCGTTAGCACACCTTCCACAGCTTTTCCTGGCTGCAAAATTTCCAGTATCTCGAACTCAGAGAAGAATAATTTGGATGTAAAACCCACAGGGGAAAATAAACAGCCTAAAAAAGTGTATGGCTTGATAAAAAGAGAATCGAAATCAGATATATCGAATAATCAGAAAGATGCCAGCAAAGAATTTAAGTCGGACTCAAAATCAGAAATTTCTAATACACAGAAGGTGATTAAAAAGGAAACTAAGCCGGAACCGTTGAGAAGCAAAAATGAAGTCGATAAGAAGCCTTTAACGGAAATATCCGATTCCCTGAAGGATCTGGTTGTAACTAGTAAAGACTCTGAAATAGCTGGTTCAAAAAAAGTATATGGTTTGAACAAAAATTATACTAAAAAAGAATCAGTTCTTCGACCTCAAGACAATCCAATACAATCAAAATCTTCAACTGAAATTACTAGTTCTTCGAGTGAATGTAATATTGAAATTAAAAATATTGAGTTTCAACAGGAAAAACAAGTTGATAGTAATAAACCATCAATTTCACCTCCTAAGGAATTCCGCACTGTCAGAAGAACATCTGATGTTATTGCAGCTAAAATTCAAAATATTTTCTCTAATTTTCAATCAGATAAAACAAGCCTATCTACTCCTAGGAAATCTACGACTCTTGGAAAAAAAGAAATAGCTTCGCTAAATAACCAAATAAAGAAGGCTGAAGTTGAAGTAAAAACATTACAATCAAATGTATCGCCCCTGAATGACGTATCTTTGAAACAACAAACTAAACCTGTTGCTGAAACAAATCAAATTACTAAAGCTAATAGCACAAAACCAACTGAGTTTGAGAATCAAAAGAATGCAAAACCTTTAGCAGGAGACAAAACCCAAAATGAAGATGTCTTAAACAGTAATAAAAATCGTTGTGATGTTGCTGTAAGTAATGAAAGAGTAGCAACGAAGAAAATAGCGCCGAGTAGCCAGAAAAAAGAAGTGATTAATATTCAAAGTCTTAAAGTTTCACCAGTCTTGGTTGCTTCTAAGACAGAGTGTTCAATCAACTCTTTGTCTACTCAGCAACGAGATAAAAACTTAGCTGATACTGAAGGCAACATGCCAATTAAAAAATCCGATCAAAACATTTCAGGTGTCGCGAATTCATCTAGCGTCTTCACCAATGGGAATATTGACCGTATATCTTCAGAACCGTCTGCACCCTTAAGAACCGTCGAAGAAAATGCTATTAAAAGATCTGAAGTGTCGAAGAAGCAGATTATGCCTGGGAAAAATTCAGTTACGGATTTAGGTTCAGAACGAGGTGCAAGCAGCTCGAACCAAACGTCTGTTATGAAAGTAACCCATAGTTCTGAAGGCAATAAAACTCACAAATTCGAATCCGTTGAAAGCCATTCTCACTCAGCAGTATCTTCTTTTTCTTCATCTACTACTTCTCAAACCTGCATTGTTAGCAATTCTGTCCAGAAAACTAGTTACTCTAATAGTTCCAGCATTTCAAAGGAGTTTCACCTTAACGATAAAACAGTCTCCAATGGAATTGCTCAAACTTCGGAAGTATCTGCCATTGAAGTTACCAAGATAACACCAACTACAATTCCTGGGATAGTACCAACAGTGAATGTTCTTTTCCGTACCAAAAGTCCTCAAAACGCACCGAATAGGGAAGAAAATAGAAAGAAAGTTATAATTGAAACAAATACTGCTAATGAACCTGCATCTTCAGCTGTTATAATACCGCTAGTTCCTTCCACCGAAGCTTCGTCTTACAATTGTGCCAAAGAATCCGTTAAAGAAGCTCTTAAAGCTGTTGAGAATGTACAAAAATCATTAAATTCTTCTCCCGCTATTCCGAAAAAGCATTCAATATTGAACTTAAAAAATGAAGAATTGGTGACTGTTTCTCTCGCTTCTAGCACTAAAGACACTGAATCTAAGTGTGTTAGCAGCTCTGGTACAATTGACAGCTTATCGAGTAAAGATAGGACGAATAGTCCTTTTCCAATTTCTAGTCCTGCTGTCCCATCTAATATTGAAAGTAAAGCCATGCCAATTAACAATAAACCAGAACTTGTACCTAAATGCAGTATGAATAGCCTTTCAAATAGTTCATCTGCATTAACAAAAGTTGAAAGTAATATCAGTAGCGAAACTAAAACATCGGTCGTGGATTTAAGTGAATGGAGCAAAAAATTCCAAAGTTCGGATTTGGATGCTCCTCGTGCTCCCTTACGTCGCCGCTTTCTCAGAGATTCTTTGCCACCCTCATTGCCTTCACGATCTGTATCCGTATCTCGTTATGGATCTCTGAAACGTATCGAAGATCCCCCTAGATACATACCCAGATCCCCTTCTCAAAGTATCATTCCCCAACGGTATTCTTATACTGAAATGCTCAGTAAAGTGTGTAGTATGGGAGTTTTGCCTTATACTGAACCTATGAACTCAAAATCTTGTTCTTCATCATCATCACAGGTATCTGAATTGTGGTCTGAATTAAGCGAGGAACAATCTACTGCAACTCATGCCTCTGAAATGCTTGAAGCTGAAACATCTGAAAGAATGAGGTTAGAAAAAGAAGTCCATGAACTTCAGGTAAGCTTTAATTCATATTTCATTTCAAGTAAATTATGTGGCATGAATAATAGCGAACCTTAATATTTATTTTTAAAAAAAATTATTCCTTTCTTTGAAGACTGCCCTTTATTGTAAATTTTTATTTTATAAAAAAAATTTTTTTAAAATCTAAGCAACATTTTATTTAAATTTCGCAATACTTATTTTCTAATTGTGTTAAATTATTTATGCAAATGGGGCAAAATTATTTATACTTGCAAAGAATCTTGCTATGTCTAAATTTATATAAAAATAAGAAATAGGAAAATCATTTATAATCAACGAAAAGCAAACGATTTTATAATTTAAAGACAAACGTTGTATAATTTATTTTTCTAAAATAGTTTTCGTATCTAGTTGTGCCATTTTTTAAAATTATTCTTACCTACCAAATGGAAGATAAATAATTTATACCATCTGGTTATGAATTTTATAATTCAGCTCTGAATATCTTAATTTCATATTTATTGCAATATCTATCACAAAAATTATCCTTATATTAACTACAAATAAGTTTTACACCACTTTTCCAATTTTTATGTGGTATTTTTTCTTTTAAGTTCCAGTTCATTCCTAGTTCAGAACTCCTGATATTGTCAATGTGATTTCATTCCGCGAAGAAAAAAATTAGGTTTTTAAAGAAAATATACCTTAACCCAATAATATTATTCTATTCATATGTAAATAAATATGTTACTTTAGGAGAATTTATTCAAACTATAGTATTAATAGTCTTTCACAGCTTCGTTTTACTTTTTTTTTACTATAAAAGTATTTTTGTTGAGCTGCTAGTTACTTTTTTGATAGCTTCGTGTTTCCTGCGCAGTTTTATAAATCGAAATCCACCCCCCTTTTAAATTAACTGCCCAAGACTACATTTGTTGTGTATTCAGTGAAGTTTGATATATATCCCATAAATAATCCTTTTCTCATTTTGCTACTACCATTAAGTTCTGAGTTAAGTTTACGAAGGCATTGATCTCTTTACTTGCGAATATTTCACTAAATTGTAAATTTTAATATTTTGTAAAAAAAAAAAAAAAAAAAAAAAAAAAAAAAAAACTAATAATTAAAGGGACTACTATTCAAAAATTACGTTATTCTTGGAAAATTTTGTGCCTTTAAATTATTATAAGCCTTTTATAATAACGTTAGACTGATCTATTAAATATTTTGGTTTGTAATTTATTGTGATTTTTTTTCTTTCTTCAATTTAAGTGTTTTTACATGATCAGTTAGGATGAATGTATTTATTATCCCTAGTTAACGTTCTAGAAAATTATAGGAGTGTGAATATATGTTTATTTTCAGTATTTCCATATATTAATATTATTTAAATGGAATTTGAGTTTTTTAATGGAACCTTTTAGTTATGAAATCGTTATTTCGAAATGTAACATAAATATTGAAAATAATAAATAAATAAATCAAAAGTGCTAAATCATTTTGAAAAATAGTTTGCTCTAGAAATTTTTATTCTTGTTTCAACTTTTAAATGTTACTTCTTAGTAAATAAGACAAACAAACTTCATGAAATATGTAAGAAAAATTTACCTATTTTATTAGCTGCAAAACACTTCATAGTCTTTATGCATCATAACATCAAATTATATTTTACTTTTTCGTTTCATAACTTTTAAAATAGTATTTGTTTATTAAGTGAGATGACACTTTTAACTATTTCTTCAACTTCAGAAAAAACAGTTGATTCTATTTTTTTTTTACATTTTCTTTAAAATAATTCAGTTTTCAAGACTAAGTAGTAATTGCTATCTTAATTTTAAGAATATAATTAGGATTTCTAACTTAAAATAAAAATAGACTATCCAACTTTCACTCGGCAACCAAATTTTTCAAAAAAATGTGTTATCATAAAAGCTAAGCTGTGATACTAAAGAATCACAGTGCTATAAATCATTTAATTTTTATAATTTCCTAAACTTTAACAACTTTTTTTTAACTAATAATTTTTGAAAGCAAAGCACCTTGAATGTTTTTCTTTATTTTAATTTTTTTTAATGTATTTCCTCCCCCACTTAATATGAATTAAATTGGTAATAATAATATGAATTAAATTGGTTAATGCAAGTTTCCAATTTCACTTGTAATACATTTCTTTCTGTCATCCTAATGATGAAATCCTTTATGTCTGTAGATTTTAAATGTTGTAATAGGCAAGGTGCCCAGTTTTGTTCAGTGTAAGTGTTGACAGGTACTTTCATTCATTTCTTTTAGAATAACAGTCTGTAGTATAAATATCAAAGCCATTTACCAACACTGAAAATACATTAGGTTTAAGTAAGAGTAGATTTAATGAAAGAAAAGTTTCGAAAGTATGTAGCTATATTGAGGTGGAGCATGCAATCAACCTTAGGAATGTTAAATATTTTCATCGAAAATAGTTTTATGATTTTTACTAGGGTTGCTAAATGATATATTTAATCACAGTTTCTGCGTTAACAACTTAGGAACCCTTTAGTAAAATGTCTGCCCGGGATGGTGGGGGATTAATGAATGACATATTTTATTGGTTACATTTGGTTATTTATAATTTTTCAAAGAGCCGGTTTATTCGTTAAGAAACAAATTGCAATTATATTAAGAATTGAGATAAATATGACGTAACTTTCTTCTAAAACTTGTACTACTGATTTTTTAAATATGTTTATTTCGAACTCTACTACTGAAACAGTAAAATATCAAAGTTAGAAAGTCCTTTGGAAAAGGAAGAAAAAAAAATTTAAAAAAACTTTTTCTTGCCAGTTTTTTCATATCATTGCGTAGTAATGTTAAATTTTTTTTGTTATGAGAAAATTTTTGACTTGAAGTTGCCCTAATTTGTTTTAATTCTAGAAACGTTTCTGTTTATGGGAGGAAAAGAAATCGTAAATTTTTTTTAGCATAGTTGTTACATATTCTCTTCGATATGTATAATTAAAAATTAAATTAAAATGAGCTCGATACGTTATCGAACCGGTAAAAGCGGCTCAAGTCAGCCAGGAACTAACATCGATCCCCTTCAATATCGTTATTTCATGCCGCTTTATCGGTAATTCGTCCTACTGACCATTCAATTATTTACTATTAGCACTGTTTTATCGCCCCTTTTAATAAGTATTCTTTATTGTCAATTGTTATGGAACTTATGGATATATATATATACACACACACACGCCGAGCTCTATCATTGGTCATTATATAACTTTTGTCCAAATATTGATGTTAAATTTGAGTTCGGCATCGAGTGAAGTACTAAGATTCTTCGTATGTAAAGTTTAAAGAATTAAGATAAGTTTGAGGTCACTAGTTTATCATTTTGGATCTTATTCATTACTTATTTTTATCTCAAATTTAGTTTGATGATTTTGGCATTTCTAATAAAACTTAACTGCATAGTAAACAAATATTTATCCCGAAATTAGGTGACATTATTAATTTACACACAGTGTCTGGGATATCAACTAAATAAATAGGATGTCCTAATACTAGTTCATTCTCAGCTATTTATAGTATTTTATGACTGTTTATATTTAGATCTGGCACGAAACACTTATATTAGGAAATTTGCTGCACTTTATATTGACTCAATCATTACATACTTAATCAAAAGAAAAGTAAAATGTCTCGTTCCTTATTTATTAAAATATTTAAGATTCCTTGCTGTAATATATTTCTCACTTCTATTCTATTCTATAATAGAAATTGTTCTAATTAGAATTGTTCTTTATAAAAAATGTGTGTACTTATTCAGAGCTTCTTGTTATTACTTAAAGTGAGTTATATGGAGGTTTGATGATAAAATTCATTTTTATTTTCAATTTTTGCTTGGTTTTTATTTTTAGGGAATTATTCATGGTTTTAAGTAACATTTTTCACTTTTTAGATCTTTAAATATTTTTTTTATAAATTTTGACCGATATTTTTTATTTTAAAAAACATTTTACTTTAAAAAATTTTATTTATAAATTAATTGAAATTTTTCATCGAATTTTTTCATTTTAAATTTCTTCCCATAACAAATGTTGATATTGAATAGAGTTTTTCACAGTACTAGAATTTTCTTTTGAATAATACGCAATCTTTTAAATTGAAGAATATCAAAATGCATTTTAAGATACAATGCATTCCTGATGTTCTCAAGATTGTTTCTAAATATTAATGAATTCCACTATTATCTTTAGTAGCTATATTCCTAAAGTAATATATATTTTTAATGTTTTTATTTATTTATTATTTTTTTTGTTGTTAGAAGTGTTGGGTTATAAGCATCCTAGCCCCTGTTATTTATAAGCTACAAGGCTCCATCAATGTGTTTTTTTAATTTGATGCTCACTATAAAAATTATAAAGCGCCTTTTTGCAGTTGGTGTTTTATTTTATTTTAATTTATCTCAATCATCGATCTTAAAAGATACTATTTGCGTCTATCAATGTTATCTCCGTAACCTCATTATTTTGAACCCAGTCCACGAGGAAAAGAAATTCCTGAATCATGCATTGGGACTAACTCACTGTTCAAGAATGGTCTAGTGGTCGTCATTAAAATAAAATGTTTTATTTATTTACTGCCCAAAATGTTTTCTGTTTAATGTAGGTGAAGTCCTCCCCTCCAACGAGCTCTTTTTAAAATGTATCTTATTTTAGTTAAAGTCAAACACAAACTTCCTCCCTTTTTTTTTTTTTTTTTTTTTTAAACAGAGTCTTGCNCTTTTTTTTTTTTTTTTTTTTTTCTTTAAAGAAAAAAAACGTAACAATTTTTTAAAAAATTTTCTATTTTAGTTAAAGTCAAACACAAATTTCCTCTTTTTTTTTTTTTTTTTTTTTTTTTTTTTTTTTTTTTTTTTTTTTTTTTTTTTTTTNTTTTTTTTTTTTTTTTTTTTTTTTAAAGAAAAAAAACGTAAAAATTTTTTAAAAATTTATCTATTTTAGTTAAAGTCAAACACAAACTTCCTCCTTTTTTTTCTTTTTTTTTTCCTTTAAAGAAAAAAAAACGTAACAATTTGTTAAAAATGTATCTTATTTTAGTTAAAGTCAAGCACAAACTTCCTCCTTTTTTTT